TGGGGACGCCCTTCAGCCACTCCATCTCCAGTTGTCTGCCACAGTTGGGGCCATGAGGAGTCGGGACCCATGATGGTGGAGAAATAGTCAAATATTGATTTAGTACCTACTGGAGTAAAATGCTGATTACACATCAATGGATTAGGTAGAAGAAGGTGCAAATCACATCACTGGGCACATTTGAATATAATGCATCGTAAGAGGCAGCCCAGGCTGTGAAGCCGCCCTGAGAAGTTCATAGTTGGTCTCATCATTTTATGTCCATGCTGTGCATTTGCTTCTGAAGGACCATTGTGGGGTCTGCACTATTTGTAAAAGCAAGAATCCAGTCTGAAGACTTACCCTGTGGCTCCGTGTGATCTCTAAATACGGCAGATTTTTTTTTTTTTTTTTGAGACAGAGTCTTGCTCTGTCACCCAGGCTGGAGTGCAGTGGCACGATCTCGTCTCACTGCAAGCTCCACCTCCTGGGTTTACGCCATTCTCCTGCCTCAGCCTCCCGAGTAGCTGGGACTACAGGCGCCCCCCGCCACCTCGCCCGGCTAGTTTTTTGTAGTTTTAGTAGAGACGGGGTTTCACCGTGTTGGCCAGGATGGTCTCGATCTCCTGACCTCGTGACCCGCCCGCCTCGGCCTCCCAAAGTGCTGGGATTACAGGCTTGAGCCACCGCGCCCGGCCTACATATGGCAGTTTCTGAGTGCCACGGCCTGCGCTTCTACGTTCTTTCCTCGAATGCTGTGTCTCACCTCCGCTTCTGGGTTTGCTGCTGCTGTTTGACAGACAGCACCCCACACGGAGCAGCCTGAGGATGCCCCGCTGCTTCCCTGGTCGTGGACAAGCCGGGCAGCTGGCGGATGGCACAGCACAAGCGCTGGTTGTGCCTGCTGGGCACTGCCTTCACGCACAGCAAATGGAGCCTCCGAACCCTGCCTCATCAGCCCAGGTCGTTGCTTTGCTGAGGTGCTCAAGGCTTTTACACTCGGCGGGCGGGCGGCACTCCGCAGACGCTTTCCTGGGGAACAAACCCAGCCGGGCGCCGGCGCCGCTCAGGCTCCCTTGGTCTAGTGCCCTCTAGCGGTGCCGGCCAGCACTGCCGCAGAGGCCGCGGGTCGCTCGGATGGGAACGGATGGAAACGTGGCTGAGGCCACTGTTCACCCGGAAGTATTTTGCCTCCGTTTCTCAGGAACTAGCTGTGAAACTAAACATTCTCACGCTGCCAGCAAAATGACCATTTTTCACTTAATTTGCAGACAACAGCATTATTAACGGCGAACATCTTGAAGGAAACTAAGTGTGGTCAAGTTGAGCAAACATCACATTATTTTCCCGAAGAATGCTGCGTGGACTCACGGAGTCCGTCTGCACTAATCCATCCAGTGAACGGCTTCCTTCTTCCTGGCCGAGTTCCTGCTCCAGCATTTCCTCCAAATCCCGCCCAGCATTAGTGACATCTTTCTATAAACATTAATTTCAGTTTCAAATATTTTTTTCCCTCAAAACTCAGAAGCTTAGCAGGAAAATAAAAATCACAATGAGAAACGTGTCCACTCCCCTGGCACTTCTGGACTTCCTGTAACACATAGAGAGCTCGAACCACATGCTCTTGTCGGCAACTGCCTCCCTATGCCGTCACTGCGAGGGCCTTGCTGTGCTGGTTGATGAGATGGACGTGGTGCTCAGACGGGCAGGTGATACTGTTTGGCTGTGTCCTCACCCAATCTCCTCTTGAACTGTGGCTCCCATAATTCCCACGTTGTGGGAGGGACCCCGTGGGAGGTAACTGAATCATGTGGGCAGGTCTTTCCCATGCTGGTCTCATGGTCTCATGAGAGTGAATAAGTTTCATGAGATCTGATGATTTTATAGGAGCAGTTCCCTGCACACACTCT